TTTTGGTCGGCTTGGTACTTTTGGTTGGCTTGGTACTTTTTGTTGGCTTGGTACTTTTGGTTGGCTTGGTACTTTTGGTTGGCTTGGTACTTTTAGTTGGCTTGTTATTCTCCGTCTCTTTCATTTCGATACTCCTTTTAAATATTACATTTTTACTTTTAAACGCATTCTTGAAAATTCTCAAACTGAAATAAAATTTCGAGTTCGTTACAACCTTTGTAATTTCAGTAGTTTTATCAGTCTTCATAATACTAGTAAAATAGGGTGTTTGAGTTGAATCCTCTGTTTTCTTCTTTTTCCTCCAAGTTTGCGTATCTTAAAGTTAAAAAAGGAGAAAATATTTATATTCTACTTGATAAGAATTCAAGATACTGTTTAACGAATTGAAAGTCTTCGCGCGGAAATATTTTTAAAATACTTTACTGGTGAAATTTTGGTTAAAAAAATGAAAAGCTGATATAGTTCCTAACCTATAGAAAGTCGAAGCTCTCACTTTTTARTGCTTGATTTTTAGAGTATATGTCCTTTTAACAAATAGGCTCAAATTTCCGGCCGTTGGGGTTTCGTGCGCCTTTATCAACTCGTTTTAGCAATTTTGGTCCACATGTTGTAGGAAAAAATGCACTAAATCAAAAAGAATGAAGCTAGGCAATTCAACCATTTTTGAGTAATTCAGAACTTCGGTTTTAGAAAAAATCAAAAGAGATTTAGTAGAATATGAACATTTTACAAATCAAATGTCTGACAACTTTTCCACGATCGTCTACTCTTCTTCCGTTGACGTGCATTTCAGCTCCATAAAAAGTGTTTGCATTTGACTGGCATCTCGCTCAGTCGCCTTGAATTTACTTTTTTGAGCTTAGGATATTTTTAAGAGCCTTGAATTGATTGTGTTATCTGATTCTAGGTAGCAGTGTAAGTCAACGGTGCAAAAAAATATATTTATGACTAAGACCATTCATGGTGTTAATTCCGATTTTGATCAGCGCAGAAGTTCCTTCGAGGTTTGATCAGGGTTAGCTGTGCTCTGAATTTGATCAGCTCAGAAGTTGTTCCAGGGTTCGATAAAACTTGATACAGCTTTTGCGGCCAACAAACATTACAATGCAGGGTTGAAACCGAGCGATTCCTTAATCGAGGTTCCAAGGGGATGTTATGTTTTTTCAAAACTTGTAAGGCTCGTGATGTCGCTCTTTCTTTAAATATCCGCAGGAGAACAAACGCCCCTTCTGGATTAACTGGGACTCCAGTGTAACCCCAAAGCTTCTGAACTGAGTTCAAGAATTGAATTATTRAATGTGTCAATTCAACAGGATCATGCATTTAATAATCATGGTTTTCAATTTATTGATTTATCTAAGGGTTTTTCATTTTTGTTGGTCAAGAGGATAAGCTCACTGCGTTTACGTAATAGTAAAATAATAATAAAAAAACAACATCCAATTACACCGAATCGAAATATGGCTACCAATTTGAATAACTATTGTTCTGCACTGGCTAACCTCGTATTCACGTAGAAACACAAATGCGTTTACCTATTTACGTGTATGTGAGGCTAATGAGTCAAGAAGAATAGCTATGCAAATTGGACTCGCAATATTTCAAGATATATAAGACTTATAGTGCACCTATTGATAATCGTGTATATTATGTTATACACACCAAAAGGACAACGATGTTAAATATATATAGGTTAATTGTTCATGTAAGGAGTAAAAGTTTCATATAAAAGTTCAGATCATGATAAGGTTTGATAAACGAATGATTTTTGAGTTTGACATGCATCCCGCATTCGGCAGGTGTTGATAGTCTATTTGTCTGACGAGGTACTGATTTAAGTGAAATGCTGTAATAGAATAACCTGGTAACGACTCAAGCAGATTGGATGGATTTTGGCATAAGATGAAATACCAAAGCTCCATTTGGCAAGTAATAGCTTGTTTTTTTCAGGTAGGTGCTTTTTCAATACCATATTATACACAAGAAAAATTTACTACAGAAAAATAAGACAAGCATTGTACATGTTCCATGACATTCTTTAAACGACAAAAAATTCATTTCGATTTCAGTATTTTCAATTTACTTTAAGGCAGAATTAACTGACAACATGTTWTCCTAAAGTCAGCAAATGTATTGTTTTAACTCTCAAGATATTTGTAAGGTTTCCGGCTTTTTGTATTAAGTTTATTTAGAAAGTGGACGAAACGGAAAAAAAGAACAATGAAAAAAAAAAAACATCCGCAAAAATAATATAACTCTCCCTTTTTACCTTGTTTTCCTTTTTTGGAAATTAATAATGGATCAAACCATTTAAAAAATAAAGACAAGAAGGAAAATATATTAAATAAAAGAATAAATGAGAACTAGAACGATAACGATAACGAGTGCAAAAATAAACTAAACAATACGAAATATCTGCAGAAATTTTATAAACTTGTGACATTCTCAGAATGTAATCAATTGCATTCCAAGCTTGCTCCTTTTTTTTAAAAAAAAACCCCAGTTTATTGTGATATATATGTATATATGTATATTCCTCTGAGACATGGTGGTTTGAAAATTACTTGGGAAAGAATGCTAACTAAACACGTCTCTGTTTGCTTCCACCAAACTATATTTGCTTTTCGTTTCATATTTGTTTTAGGGATTATTTGGTCTCTTTGGGAAAATATAGCAGAAAAATCCCAGAGATAATTAAGAAAATCCCTAGACGGATAAGAAATTGTTGCTATTACTATACACAGTAGATGGGCAAACAGAAAAGAACAAAAGTATTTTATAACAAAAAYGAATTAATACGAAAAGCTGCTTTCTCAGTACATTAAAAATCTTTACAATTGAGTSTTTTCGTTAAATACTGAAATTTGAAATTACTCACTTCTAATTGACAGGAATAAAGCAAGGAAGATTATCATCAACTGCAATGATCGTGTCGTCTTGTATTCAATCATATTGTAGAATTTTATGTTAAGCCAAGACTGATTAACAGTAGTTGTGTGTCATTCATAGAACTCAGAGCAGTGCGAACTTACAAGTCAGTTCGAGTAGCTCGATTGTTATTGGCTCTAGTTATTTGAATAAATGTACATTATTAAAAGCTTCTAATCAATTTCAACAACACAATACCGTAAAATTGATTAGAATTACAATGGTTATAAATAATGTTTTATATTTAGAAGATTTGGCGGGGAGAAACGACATGTACAWAGAATAGATAATGCTATAGATATATCACCTATAAAATATCTCTTGTGCTACTCGTGACTYTTCAAGGGCAGACCAAACGGGCATTGTGAGATCTCCTCATGACTCACTACAAATTACATAATAATAATAAAAATAAAAAAACAACAACGAAGTTTTTTAAACAGATAATCTGCCTCCTYCACCTTCTCTCTTTAGGTGCGGTTAACTTTTAAAGAGCGCAAAAATTAGTGCACAATGACGGCCATCTCCTCTATCTCTAAGTAACCCTTAGACCTTTCTCTAGTGTTAGTTCCCTCGTCCACTGAACACAAGATGTCCGCAGTTGTTTAYTTGCACCATGTCATATACTGCTAAGCAGATTAAAATATACAGAAAGTGTTTTTAATAGACCATTTTCCAGTTCCAAATTACATTTGTGTTCCTTGATTATAGTCTCGTTTACTCAGGCTTTAAGCCTCGAATCGGTGTCTAAATATCCACAAATACCAAGACGGTAAAGTAAAGATGCACAACTTCAACGATACAAACACTTTG